GCATGCAATGCACAAGTTCTTTCAAATTATTATAAATTTGATTTTTAATGAAATTTTATATTTGTCTCATATAAAACTATGAGTTTTGCGTATTATGAGGTGTGTAAGCAGTGGGATTAGCGCAACCATAATTGTTGTTAGTCTAAATGCTATTAATGTTTGGTAGTGAAGACATTATTATTATGCTCTATAGTAGCAATGAATGAAATATATTATTAAATACTGTGTTGTTTAACAATTAAGTATGATTTATATTTTAATATATATAATTATATACATGTTCAAGTTCTTTTAATTTGTAATTTATTTGTTCATATAATATTAAATTTTTAACGGAATTTAATTTAATCATATAAAATAGATTGATCATATAAAATTTATAATAAGTTTTTATAAATAATAACTAAAAATTTTAGCACAAAACTTATTAATAATTTATTTAGTGTGTTTATTTATTTATATTTGGCAATCCAGGTTTCCATAATAACATTGGCAATATATTAAAATATGTAACAATTGTCAAAATGAAAATCCGAAACGATAATGCTAAATCAATTTTATTTTTATATTTAATACATAAATTTTTTTGCTATCCATTGTGACAGAGCCTTTAACAAAATTTGCAAATAACAGATGTTTCCCAACTGTTTTTTGCCAATCCGCTATTTATCAACTAATTTTGATAAGCACTGAAAATGTTTATTAAATAATTACGTTAATAAGTTTAATTTAAAATGCCTCAGCACTTTTTTATTAATAGCTGAAGAGCTGTGTAATAATGATTTGAAATAAATTTGGAATTTTTAAAATGGACGCCATAAACAAATATGATTCGGATGGCGTCATAGAATATTGCCCAGAGGATTTTATAGAATGTGAAATAGAGGAAGAAGTGCCTGTAATTAAAACGGAACATTCTAGGTTTGCTGAAACGTTTCAGTGTTCTAAATGTCCATATCAAGATAGCTCGTTGGATCAAGTACGTACTCATTACTATGTTGTACACGAAGGTTGGCCTTTGGTTACATTGGCACAAGAAGAAGAAGAAACTGATACAAATATTGTGTTTGTATGCAGTTTATGTTTTCGTCAGTACAGTTTAGAAGAGGATTTACGTGGACATATGATAGAATATCATAAATGTGTTCCTATTGAGGAAACTGATGGCAAAACTGTCGATGTGGCTGAGATAGTTGATAAGCAGATATCCGGGTTCAAAGAGTTGTTGGACACACATAAGACAATACCACAAATTGAACAGGAAGTGCGTCCAATGGCATTCAAAGATTTTCGCTTATTTTTACGTGTGAATTTGAAAATACGGTAATTTCGTATTTATTTTATGAAATGATATAATTTACTAATATATTCGGTAATATTTTATTTGTGTTAATCATAAAATTTAATTAATTGTAATATTTTCTTTCAGTTGTACATTTACGACGCCTTGTATGTTTAAATTTGAAAACTTGGCACGTTTAGAGACACATCTCAAGTGTCATGCAGATAACTTAAGCCAAAAATTCAAATGTTTGGAGTGCGGTCTAGAAATACTCAATTGGCGTCGTTGTTCCGCACATTTATGGAAAGTACATCAAATCGATGTTGACTTATTACAATGTCCGTCATGCGAGTTTAGAGCACCTGCTTCTGGTGAGTTTAAAAACAACTAAATTGTTAAAAAAAATTGATTTTGATATTAATTTTTATTATCAAAAGTGCTCGTTTGGCGTCATATGCGTGTACACAGAAAGTGGCGTTCACGTGTGATTCGTTCATTGCGTGCAGTAAAAGAGAAGCGTTTGCAGAATGTTGAGAAATTGCCGGAAGTGAAACCAATTACACCGCCAAATAAAAACAAATATTATTCTGAAAAAATATGTGAAATTTGCAACAGAAAGTTTGTGAATGGAAAGACGCTATCAAAACACGTCAAAACAGTGCATAATAAAATAAAACCCTTTATTTGCAATGTATGCGGTAAGAAGACTGCAAGGAAAGCTAGTTTAATTGTAAGTTAGTTTAATTAAGTATTAGTTTTTGTATTTAATTATATATTAATTTAATAATGAGTTTATATACAGATTCATATGCGACAACACACAGGTGAAAAGCCACTGCAATGTAAAACTTGCAAATTTTCGTCACGCGATCCAAGCGTTTTGCATAAACATCAACTACGCCACGAAAAGGTATTTATTTTATTTAATAATGAGTTTTTAATTATCCATACAGAATTGAATTATACTGCTTATAAGCTTATATTTATAAAATATAAAAACCTAAAGTAAATTAAATTCAATGTAATAAAATAGTTAACTTAAAGGTTATATAAAACTGGTAGTAACAGTAAAAGGTTTTCTCTTATAAAAATAAGGTTTTTTGAGATTATACAATTTATTAAACTTATTAAGCATTGTAAAACTAATAATAATTACTTACAGAGGACACTCAAAAGATCTAGGAATAGTCAAATCAAACTCCTTTAGAAAGAGTTACTTTTAATTACCACTTAAGCTAGATCGAAGTTTTAAAACTCTACTTAAAAGTTTTTGAACAATGTTTTGGAACTTATTTTAATCAAATTCTTTTGATGGTACCAATCGCATTCCTAGATTATGTTTTCTCAGAATGTTTCATCTTTTTCTCGTCAATGATACAGAAATAAATTAAAATTAAATTGCACAAATTAATGTCTTTTTGCAAAATGTCCATCTGCAAAATGTCTTATATGACTCATCTGTGTCTACATGTTGAAATTCGAAATCATGAAAAATGCTTAGGTTTTGATAATTTTTTAAAATCTCTAGATACCAGTAAATAACTACCTGCGTCCTGTTAACAAGTTCGGTCATAGACTACAAAATTATACTACTATGGACTACAAAGTTAGATTCCAAGAACGGTCGAGTCGACGTCCCGGAGCCACTCGTCACCTACGACGACCAAGTACCATTCAACACCTCCCAAAGGGACTCCACAAGCAGGTCTCGGCGGGTTACAACAACAACAACGAAGTTAGATTTCTAAACGGAATTAGTTTTATATGTGCCAACCATTACTTAACTTCTAATAACAATAGACTTAACTTCTAACAACATTTAGTCCGACTTAAATCAATTTAAACCTATGCCATTTCAATTTATCGTATCAATCTGATAAAAAAAAGCAGTTTATTACTATATTATTAATACTTTAAGAATCAGATCTTCAATATTAAATAAATAACTATATAGTTTTCTTCAATTTTTTAAGTTCTCTTCATATTCTTATTTTGCAATCTATATCTTATGTCAAAAAAAAATCAAATGTAAACAATCTGCAGATCAAAAGCATATTAAAAATAAATTGCTTTATCTTCAAATACCAATTTTTAGTCTTTGGATTTCCTTTTAAAAGAGCAACCAATATATATTAAAAAATTATTATAAAAAAGTAAAATAATTATTTCGCTAACACAATTATGAACTTCATATTTTATTATTTAGGTATCATACTTGCTCACGGTGTTGCAAATAGTGACTGCAATAAAGTAAAAAAATAATTAAAAATTAATACGATTAAATTAATATAAAGTATCTGAAATTCATATATTCAGATGTGTGAAATATAATTATGTATAAATTACAAATGCATTTTTACAATTTTTTTGCGACAGAATTGGAAGTTTCAAAGATAGATAATTTATAACATGAAATGCTTATATTTATATTATTATAATAATAATAGTTATATTAAGTTTATGAAATACTTTCACATAATATAAAATTACAATTAATAATATATATTATATTAATAACTTTCCATATATTACAGGTGGGCAAATTTAAATGCAATTTATGTGATTACTCCTGCATACAAACCAATTCTTATAAACGGCATATACGTACTAATCATCCTGAGGTTTATAAGAGAATTGCTTGCGATATTTGCAATTTTGTGACAATAACTGAACAAAAATTGCTTGCCCATAAGGAAGATCACAAAAAAGGCTTAATTGTAAATTACGAAGGTTAGAATATAAACGAAATTTTATAATTATATTAAAATTATTTAATAAAAAATTTTATTCTTAAAGATTCAATGGACGCAACACGTAACAATTGCTTTAAAAATCCCGGAAAATTGCATGACAAAACTAATGAAGTAAGAGTGTATTTTATAATTCTTTGAAAGTGAAAAAATAATGTTTATGTTTATTCTGTTAACAAATTATATCAATTTATTTGATATATTAGCTAAGGACGAACAATTTGAATTTCTATAATATATTCAATAC